GACTGCCTACAGATTGCACCCACGAGCAATTATCTTTCCATTGTGCACTAGCACAGCCCCCATTGGTACCTCCCACTTGTCAGCAGCTTTTTTGGCTTCCAAGAGTGCTTCCCTCATAAACATTTCATCGATTTTTCTCTGCTCTGCTTCAAGCATGTATGCTTCTTCCCACTCATCAAATCTATCTTTCACGATTTGATCTTTTCTCTGAAGTCTTTTTTGTTGTACCTCCCCCTCACTAACCGATGATGATTCTTGTTTCTCTATGTTCACACCGCTTTCAGATGGATTTTCTTCTTTAGCTTCTTTAGTCTCTAAGCCTCCTCTCATAGAAGAAAACTTTCGAAGGCTTAATGCTGGTAAAGAAATTGAGGAGTCAACCATTGCGGAGGAGCCTTCAGGAACTTCTATGCCTGAAGTTTCTAGAACAGATGAAGAAGATGGTTCATTTATTCTGGCATTCTTTAGACAGCCCTCTGTAGTTGATGAGCTGGAACTTTGTCCAACTAAAGAGTGGGTTTTTTCTTCTTGACGCCTGCTAGACAAATCTTGTGTTATGCTCGTCCCTTCATTTTTCTCTGCTTCATGACCAGAAAACCATGCTTCGCTACTCGTGGACTGATTAGGCGAGCTTTTTCCATCCGTCTTTTGGCCCGAGCCGTGACTTTCCAGACATGGGGACCAACGCAAACGAACAATGTCGGCAAAAATATTCCACAATGATTTCCCGCTTCTCTTTACAATGGCATTTTCTGGTTTGCTTGAATTATCTTGGATTTCTGTCTTAGCTAATTTCTGAGCAGATGGTTCGTCCTCCTTCCACATTTCATCAGAAGGCCCCTTTGACTCAGATGGTTGACCATCTTGCTTTAAGTCATGCATCTTGGGAAAAAACTTAGGGGGTGATTGTTTATGGTTTGAATAGTAAAAAAACTAGAATTTTTTAATTATGGTTAAGTTTAAGAAAAAGTTGTATGGTTAGTTGTTAGTGGATATATTAAAATAGTATTTAAAATAAAATAGTTAAAGTTGATTGGATGTAAAGTAAGAGAAAAATGATTGGAAGTGATAGTTAGTTAAAATTAGTTAGAATTATGTGAGTGGATGAATAGTGAATTAAAGTTGATGTGATATGTAATAATGATTTGTTGATGTTATTTAATTATATAATAATATTGGAGATAGTGGGGTTGAGTTAAAGTTGAGTTAAATTTGAATTTGAGTAAAAAAAATTACTGTAGGGATGATAAACAATCATGCCCTTAGTTTCGGGTGTTTGATTCTCCCTCTGGATTTCAGAAGCCACTATTTCATTCCTTAACTGGCTAACAAACTCACCGTGATAGTGTTCCGAGGATTTCTCTGATCGAGCAGCAGACTCAATTGCATCTTCAGGTGAAACAAACTTCGAGGACTTGCCCATGAAAATTATCATTGCTAGCCAGTGTAGATACTCCTTCATTATCTCCAGGTACAGTAGTAACATCATTAGTAGCACTGAGTTCAGGTAAATATGATAAAGTTTGTGTAATGACGAATTCATCAGATTCCTTTCTGCAATTAACTGTCTTGGCAATTTTGGAATGTGTCTCTGTCTCTGTGAGAGTGTCTGCTTGGATTCTGAAGATGACCCGTAGACTAAGTTCAATTATCTTGTTGTTTCATAAGCTTCTCTGATTCCCTTTTCAAAATCGACTTGCCATTTTTACTGGTCAAATTTCGAGATGTCCCGCTTGATTCCCCTGAGAAACTTGCTTGTTCATCTCGTTGTTGCTTTGAAGCAACATTAATTGAAGTAAATACATCGGTCGAGTAGTCTTCCTCCTTCACACTGGTTTCGAGCCGTTGCTTGGAAATGGAAGTCTTTCGAATATCAATATCTTGACTTTCTGATACTTCAGAAATCTTGCAAGAATCTCTTTCGTATTTATCCTCTCTTGTGCTAAGTCCAACTGCAGCTTGATGTTCTACAGCTTTTTCCGGACTCTCGACTTTAGCAGACATCTCGCCCTTGACAGTATATCCCTTTTGAGAACCGTAAGAACTTCTAGCCTCATCAACACGTGTATCTTTCGTTTCCACAAACTGTTTGTACTTCATCTTGTTTCAGATTGCCTAATTCTTCATCACCCATTTGCAGAAGCTGCTGTTTTCTCTCTTCAGTCGGTTTCGTGACTTCGCTCAACGATTTTACTTTCCGCTCATCAAAGTAATCAGAACCTCTTTCATAATTACTTTCACTTGCCATCGAAAAATTCGACTCCTTTATCAATGATTTTTTACTCGACTCCACCTCCTCCACCGATAGATAAGTTTCTTTTCCGTTTTCTTCCTAAAATCAGACTCGAAATCCTTTTCTGTGCTCTTTCTTGTCAAAATCCGTCCATGATATCCTTTATGAGCCTCATACCTCTGATCCTCTTCCGTAATTTTATGGTGAACTATTTCAACACCCGAATCCATCATAAGACCACCGCTCGACGAGTCCCCTGAAAACCTGTCTTCTTTGAGCTCAGTTTCGTTTTCGCTCTCGTAATCGCCAGCCGACGAGAACGAGTAATACGAGGAGCAACTCGATCCATCTCTCCTCCTCACCTTCTCCCTATCTTCCTCTCTCCTCGAAGGATCTTCTGTCTCATCCCTCCTTGAACTCACATTCACATTCTCTTTCCTCAAAATACATTCTCTCCCTTTCTCATCACCGACCCTCCGGCTCGGCTTCCTCATCCACACCTCATCCTCTTCTTTCTTTCTCTCTCTTCCATTTTTCACACCATACGTACGTTCCTTTCGATTTCCCTCCCAAGTTAAACCCAAGTTAAAGTTTCCGCCTTTTCTTCCCTAAAAGCTATTTGCTCTCTCCTTCTACCATCCTTCTTAAAATACCGGCCGGTTGCCCTTCTGCAAAACTAGGCTCACTCTCCAAAACACCTAACTCCACTATTTTCTTCTTAACCATAATCTTGCCCCTCACCTCATCATTCCCCATCTCCTCCACGGCCGGTTTTTTCAGTAACTTCCTTTTCCCCATCAGTGGACGAGAACACTCTATCTCGTCAAAATCCTCAGCCAGCAAACTAAGCACGGCCTCAGCCTCGACTTCATACCTCTCAGCACTTTCATCAAACACCATACGTCTACTCAAACCCAGACATACTTTCCTTCCCCTGCCTACATTTCTCACCCTGAAATCGCAAACCCCATCGCAATAACAATCGGCCCCAACACTGGAAATGGGCAATCGCGTGTAGTAGCACCGGTCGAGGCCGACCCTTCTGTGGGGGGCCCATTGAATTAAGGAGGATTGTCTGAATCCATAAAGATTGCAGCAGTAATTGGGGCTTACCTGAGCTCTGTACATCGGATTGGAGCAGCAACAGCAGCAGAAGCAGCTCGATCTGGACGATGAATGAAGAAATGGGCGCGCTTCGATTGAGCAGTGCGAGTAGCCATTGGGCGAAAATGGAGAGGATGATGACGATCCACTTGTTCTTAGTGAGATTGTTGAAGTTATGCAGGCGTTGAGCATAGTTCAAGCTTCGAACTACAGTTGAGATGGAAAGAGGGATTTTGTGTAGCTGATCTGATCTGTTTCTGTTCTTGCGGAGGTAACAATCCAATGCAAGATAATGGATAGGGATTGTTTTTGTTAAACAAGTAGAGTAAAATGCAATTTGGGTCGTATAACCCTGTTGGAATTACATTTTTCATTTTCGTCTCGTATATTTGTAAATATGATACAAAACAGCATAGTTTTAAACCCGGTCTAAAAATTGACCCTGGCAGGTCTTCGGGTCATCGGCACCGGTTTAATCGTTGGGTCACCGGGTCAATTGTTGAATCGGATAATTAATTTTAAATTTTTTTAAATTATATATATAGTATTTTTTACATATAAATATACATAAATATAACAAAAATAAATATTTTGCATATAAAGTTTGTACATCAAAGTGTTAAAAATTATATCTCACAATAAATATTTACTATATCAATATATTTACATAGTTTTTATTTTGTATATAAAAAAATATTTAAAATAAAAAATATATAATGACCGGGTCAACCGGGTTGACTGTCAATTGTCCGGGTCGACCGGGTCAAGGCCGGGTCAACCGGGTTTGACCGAGTTTATTGTTACCCGGTCCAAATAGCCTACTCATACCGGTTCTGACTCCGGGTCGGTCGGGTCCCGGGTCGACCAGCCGGGCCGATCCGGGTTGAAAAACAGTGCAAAATAGTCTGTTATGTTTTGCAAAAAAAAAGTTTCAATTTCGTCCTTTATGTATGAAACAGACCTTTTTGTAACCTTTTACAAACATACTGGACGAATATCAAAAACGCAATTCGAAGAGGACGAAAATGTTTGGGTAGTGAAACATACAGGACTAAAAATGCATTTTACTCTAAACAATAAACAAATCGAGCCAGTTTGAAAGTTGAGCAATTAAAAGCCAAAAATACAAAATTGAAAATTTTATGTAAGTTTATGTAGGTCGGCTTGTTATAGATCAGGAATAAAAGTTTTTATATATATATTTTTTTTTTTAATTTGACTCACTAAGACGTGTGTTCGATACATCAAAATTTACAATCAATTTATTAATATTAATAAATAGCAAAACTCAAGCTCATTTATCGACTCGCCGACCTTC